GTGTTAATATATTCGGATTCCGTTTGCTCCAGTTTTCGCGCACTACACGCGGTGGCAGCACCAAGCAATGGCACTGCATGGTCTGTATCGTAACCGGGGTATTTCGTTGAAAACAGCTTCATGCACAATTATATCAAAGGCGATGCTTGTCTGGTGACAGATTTTTTTCAAGATTTCGCAAGTGGAAGAAACTGTTTGCTGGTAACTTGATCGCGACTGTGAGGTCTCGTATCTCATGTTGCCGCTTGATGCACACCTAGATTATCGTTTAGTCTCTGAATATATAAAATTTTGATAGCAACAAACAAACCCATTATAAAATGAAAAGTTGCCCCCGGAAAACCAGAACCTGAGGAAATCTAGACTTGCTTCATTTAGGGCTTTAGCATTGCAGAAATGGCTAGGCAGTAGGGAAAATAGTATTGTGGTTCTGGGACTGTGAGACAAACTAGATCCACACCCCGAAACAGCTAATCACAGTGCCACAGTGTATTATATGTTCACTCAGTGGGTGAAATTGACCTTTTAGTCTTAGGCCAGTGTATATCCTTGTACTTAGATGCATATCTAGTCGGTAAGCAGATAGGGAACGAAGTAATTCATGAACCACTTGCGATCAGTTCCGGTAGGCAAAAAAAACCCCCTCAAAACGGCTCTCATTCTGACGCCTGATATTCAGGGTACCAGACTGACTTTTCGCACAGATATATGTTTTCCTTAATTTAAATACATATCTACCAACTAATAGACAAATGAAAAACCCCAAAATGTCCACACCCATTACTAATTTCAGGAACTAACCAAATCTGTAAGACTTGAATTCAGTAAAATTACTAAAAGGCCAAATGTAGAGATAGCATAACACATTACAACCGGTTTTATCACCCACACTGCATATTTTGACTGCATCAGTGCTGGTCACCCACTATTAGACCATGGGGCTAGTACTCATTGACTTGGGCTTGCTCAAATAATGAGCCGATACTGCAGTGTTGAGGAAGACTTGTAGTTATAGTTTCATGATGTACCTCTCCATTGTCACTCTTTGCTGTTTCCTCAAATAGCTGAACTGCACACTTTTAAATCAGCTACACATTTCCTAAATGTTCATGCAGAGGAAATGTGCATCTGCTCTCTTGAGCATAATATGTTTCAGTTACGTTTTTATGTGAAGAGTTTCTAACTTTCACAGATAACTTTTTGAACCCTGTCCCTTTGGGTGTTTATGTGCAGTATATATCTTCCATTGGTCTATCAGGGTAAATATATCAGTGTATAGTGATGAAATGTATATTTTGCACCATTTGCATGCTAATAATACTAATTACCTTAATCTGGGTACACAGAGTGTAGCCTACCACCTTATTACCTACAAGTAATGGCTGTCTGGGTCAAACCTTGTTTGTTTTTAGTAACCTGATACATTTTTTGGCTGGTAATGACAAGAATTTCTAATTACCGAATAACACTTTTGCTGCTGCTGAGAGATCCTAAAAGATAAAAAACTTTTCTTGCATTTGGCCCAGGACTAAAATCTTGTCAGTACATGCCACTGCCACTTAGCCAGCAGAATTATGACCAATACATCCTCCTACTCAGAGCGTGACTCACTTGACAACAATAAATGTTGGTTACGTTGTACTTTTCTGCACTTGGTCCAAACTTGATATAGTTCTAAATGCTAGCGATGTTCAACTTCTTTTATTTTTAAAAAATGGTGGTGAAGTTAAACATGTCTTTCAATACAAGCAGTAAGAATTAAAGCCTCTTCCTGTTGTAAGTTACCTTTACAAAAGCCATAACAACAGTTTCAGAAAAGCCTCTTTGATGCATCTATTCAGGTAGTGTGCTATTCATCATTGGCCCATCATCGGCTAACAGTTTCCGCTGTCGACTGCACTGGGCAGACAGTATTGGCATAAATCATAGAATCTATGGTCGTTATTAGGAATAGTAACTTTGAACAAAAGTTAAATAGAAATCTGAAAGAAATCAACTTATTTTGTATTTCTGTTGAGTTTTGACATTTATGCATGGGTGACAAACAAAATCCTAAACGTGATTTAGAAGCAACCCAGAATAAAGACATAACGTTGTTTATTGTGTGAGTAAATTGAAACAATGATATTATGGGTATTCTTTAATTCCATTCAAATTGACTTGATGGCACAAGTTTTCTCATTTGGTCACCCTTCAAATCAAGTTCATAGTTGACAAAGACTGTAAAATGTCAGGAAAGGTATAGCCTGTCGTCATAGTTCCTGAACTGCATTATTTTTACTTCTATTACTTACTATTCTTCCTTCCTGCAATGATAAAACCCTTATTGAAGCAAGTCTAGATTTACTTACTTGGTTGGAATCTCCCATCTTACTTGAGCTCCTTTTCAGTTGAAAAGGAATTGTTTGTTTCTATCAAAATTATAAATATTCAGATGCTAAGTGTTAGTCTCAGATGGTCCTGTAGGACCTGAAAATCATATCCTATCCAATTTATGCCTGGTAGGTTAATTTTATTTCACAAAAGTTTCTGAATATGAAACATTGTAAATTCATAATTTATGTATGTTGTTAGGATGGTATTTTACATACATTTTCAGTTCAGAAGAATGAATATAATTTTGTAAGCTCAGTTTGAATTTAAGTTCATTTTGAAAGTAATATTGTTAACATTTTAATGTTACATAATGCAGACAATTATGAATGGGATCAAGAGACGTTGAGGTTGGCAGAGGAGAAATGTCATCTTCCAATTGCGGAATCAGGGAGGAATCTCTGAGGCATTCCAAAGGGAGGAAGGGGTAGGTGATGTGATCCAGAGATCAAAACCTTCACGTTTGTAAGTTTAAATTGTCAATACAATTTTTACAACTTTGTTAAATTTATGTCTACCTTAAACGGGGATGTCACGATACATACGTTTCATGAATCGATACGTATCACGATACTCATGACATGATTCGATATGTATCATGATACCTATTTTCGCTGCATCATTGCGTAAATTTAGTTACATTTTGAAAATTAATATTTCATATTTTATAATTGTCCATGAAAAGATCAACATGTTTTATTCTCAGAGATTAAAAATTCCAATTTCCCATCTTTGTCCGTGAAAAATAATCATTTATAACTCTCATAACATCAAAAAAGACATGAGACAATTGAAAAATGTAAACGAAACATATTAAACCATATTTAAACTGATACTTTCAAAACTATATATCGATAGAAAAAGTATCGATACATCGATGTATCGTGGCATCCCTAACCTTACCAATGTTCTGGCTTACTTTAGAATTCAGCACCACAAACTTGCATGAAGTAAACCCCATGAAGTAATGCCTCATGAATCTTTGCAAATTGTTTACGCCTTCTCAATATTAATACAGTTATCTTGAATGGCAGTGTGCCGGTCAGTACTGTGTGCAGCAATACATGTTTTAGGTATTATCTCAATACAAGATCTTTTACTATTGATGATTAGAAGAAATTCAAAATGCCCAAAAGAGATTAATTGATAGACATGGAATAACCTTATACACAGATATGTCTTTGATGACATGTATGAAGAGCTTAAAGAAAAACTGCATTTACTCTCATAACAAGCATTTCCATATTGTGCTTCTGTCTAGAAAATGAAATTTTGAAAACTGGCAGAATTTGCTCTTTTCAAATGTCAATAGGGTAATTTTCATCATTTTAAAGCTTTTCTATTGACTTTTGACCGTGATTGATGTCCAAACATTCACAATTAAAAAATTAATCCCTGCAATAATAACGTCTTTTATAGAGGTATCATTTTCACTTTTAAGTTACTATCTACTCATGTCTTTCCACAGTTTAATAGAGAGCTGACGCGTGTCGTGTTTCGTAGTGCACACACTTACGACCAAACCCATGAGAAAGTACTGGCATTTCCCAATTCAGAGTATACAAATTAACATATTGCCTACATTTTGTTGTTTTTCTGTAGTCAGTAATTCAATCTGCCATTTGATAATCAGGTGTATGAAGGTTCTGACACCAGTCTGTTCATATCACAGGGGTGAGGGGTGGGGATGGGTGGGTGTCTTAATTAAATATGTTTTACATAATAGTATCAGGTTTTTAAAGTGGTTGTTACCAAGTGATTCATGTAATTGTTACAACATTTGCATTAATGTTTTGGTGTCCTTCATACACATTAAATTCAGCAAATGATGCATATTAAAGACAGGTCATTGGTAAATCAATCAAGCATTCGCCACTTAATTCCATTGTATACAACTAGGATGTGTTATCTTTGACGAATAGGGTTATTGTGTTGACCATCGGGCAACTTATATATGTATATATATATATATATATATATATATATATAAACACCAGCATTAGGGAGACCAAATGTATTTAACAACCAGCATTAGGGAGACCACAAACTTAGGGCGACCAAAAACCGGTCTCCCTAATTTTCAAGCAATCATCCATTATGCAACACAGAACTGCTTTAATATTCTTTTAGGTCATATTCTTTATGTAATCATTGTCTTTAATATTATCAACCGAAACTACTTATTTCGTGACTTTAAAAGGCTACGTATAGATGAGAAGCGATAGTCGTATATAATACATGTATGTAAAAATACGCCTGAGGGAGACCGACCCAAAAAGGCACATAAGAGCACTATTTGGATATATATGTTTAATTCTGAACCAGATAATTATACTTAGTGTTCTTATTTCTACGTTTTGTCAGCAAAACATAACTGTATGTTATTATTTGATGAAAACGAAAAATTCTGACCGTGAAACGGCGTTCGTGTTGCACGCCTCGAGTCGAGATCGACCTTCCTGCGCCACACTTGCATTTTCAATACTTTTTTCATTGAAAAGATTAAACCCGGGACGCATTGTTGTCGTCATGTTTCAAAACAATCACAAAATAGTGTACAATTTGTTTTTTTTCACCTTAATATTTTAAATACCGTTTGTGCGGTGCTTCGTTACGGACTTTTCACAATGACCGACGACGGCCATTTATATGCTGCTGCCGCCGTGTTCCTTGCGCTATGTCGACCTTGCCGAAGAATATTCCAAGGTAGGTGTTATCTGAATGTTCCTGCAATTATATACTATGAGGATTTGTGTATTGTGACAAATGAAAAATAATCAGCACTTCATCAACTCTCGGACACTTCTGCAGTTCACACGGCAACTTGGTTACAGTTTTCGTTCACTGAGGCAGTGCCAGGCACTGTATTTTGCTGGTTACATGTAAAATCTGTTTCATTAAAAATGATGAATGAAATTGTAAGCTGATTGTAATTAGTACAGATTTAATACCTACATGAATAGCAATTTCTGTCAAAATTTGGAAAGCAATATGATTTTCGACCTCGAACATAAAGGTCATGGAGGATTCCGTTTTCCGATGATTTATTAAGAAAACTGCATCTATTTAAACAACATATATTAGACGTACCAATCGGGTTTAACATGGTTGTGTATGGGATAGGTTAAAATTAAGTTGGTTCTTAATCAGGTGTCATTCGATAGCTAATCAACAGAAAGATGAAAGAAAATTATGTACACTGGCTAGCGACCAGTTATCGCCAATACATCTGTATCACCTATGTGTGCAGTTCCGGGCAATTACAATTCCGGTATTTTTTCAAACGGTATTTGACTACAATACAGGACAACAAAAGAAATTTCTTCACGGCAAGTAACATAAGAGAAAAACTAAATGATAAAGTTATGAACCCTATCACAATTTTTTGACTTCGTCCCATGACCTATATAATAGCAAATTCAATTCCACAAGTCATTAATTGTTTCATTCCGTATCAATCTACTGTGAAAGGAACACTCAAATAGTCGCACAATCAATTATTCAGGGTTACTCTATGATATAAATATACATTATTTCACGAATGGCATGAGAAATTCAGAATGGTGATAACTGTTACAGTTAGTTGTGAGAAAACATCTATTTATACTTCCATGATTCACTTCCGCCGCGTAGATAATAACATGATCGGCGACAGAAAACGGGCTGGACACATCGTTTAATAGCTAATTAAATATCATGATTAATTTTGTTTCATTAATTCAACGAACGACGGAATAAATTTGGAAATACCGCTAAAATAAGGAGACAACTGTTCGCTAGCCAGTACACGTAGCTTAAGATGATTTCAAAGATGTTTGCAAAATATAAATATACAACGCTCAAGACCCGTGTTCGATTCCCCACATGGGTACAATATGTTTAACACATTTCTTGTGTCCCCTGCCGTGGTATTGCTGTAACATTGCTCAAAGCGGTGTAAAACTATACTCACTCAATCACTACTATTGAGACTGATCCATCTAAGCTTAAAAGCTCAAACTAAGCTTATTTACAATGTGGCACTAGCCATGTTCACATGGATGAGACTGGACATTGTTGATGCAGAAAACCCCTGCAGATTATGCACAAGTTGCTAACATCGAGGCCAGTCTGAACCACCTCCCTTCCTTAGTGATGTAAATATTACTAAATGGGAAAAAAATTACATGTACTTTTATCATATAAAATTCTACCACCAAATCCATGTTGAACTATGAGCTTATTAAACTGTACCCGTAATGTTTAACCAGGGACCCTGAACCCCAAAAGCATCAACCAAAGTTTGGACTCTTAATTGACATAATCTGATGTGTGCTTGAAATACCATTAGTTGTTAACAGTAAAACCCAATGTGTCACATAATCTCCATTCAGTTTTCCGATGATTTATTAAGAAAACTGCATCTATTTAAACAAAATATATTAGACATACCAATCGGGTTTAACATGGTTGTGTATGGGATAGGTTAAAATTAAGTTGGTTCTTAATCAGGTGTCATTCGATAGCTAATCAACAGAAAGATGAAAGAAAATCATGTACACTGGCTAGCGACCAGTTATCGCCAATACATCTGTATCACCTATGTGTGCAGTTCCGGGCAATTACAATTCCGGTATTTTTTCAAACGGTATTTGACTACAATACAGGACAACAAAAGAAATTTCTTCACGGCAAGTAACATAAGAGAAAAACTAAATGATAAAGTTATGAACCCTATCACAATTTTTTGACTTTGTCCCATGACCTATATAATAGCAAATTCAATTCCACGAGTCATTAATTGTTTCATTCCGTATCAATCTTCTGTGAAAGGAACACTCACATAGTCGCACAATCAATTATTCAGGGTTACTGTATGATATAAATATACATTATTTCACGAATGGCATGATAAATTCAGAATGGTGATAACTGTTACAGTTAGTTGTGAGAAAACATCTATTTATACTTCCATGATTCACTTCCGCCGCGTAGATAATAACATGATCGGCGACAGTAAACGGGCTGGACACATCGGTGAATAGCTAATTAAATATCATGATTAATTTTGTTTCATTAATTCAACGAACGACGGAATAAATTTGGAAATACCGCTAAAATATGGAGACAACTGTTCGCTAGCCAGTACACGTAGCTTAAGATGATTTCAAAGATGTTTGCAAAATATAAATATACAACGCTCAAGACCCGTGTTCGATTCCCCACATGGGTACAATATGTTTAACACATTTCTTGTGTCCCCTGCCGTGGTATTGCTGTAACATTGCTCAAAGCGGTGTAAAACTATACTCACTCAATCACTATTATTGAGACTGATCCATCTAAGCTTAAAAGCTCAAACTAAGCTTATTTACAATGTGGCACTAGCCATGTTCACATGGATGAGACTGGGCATTGTTGATGCAGAAAACCCCTGCAGATTATGCACAAGTTGCTAACATCGAGGCCAGTCTGAACCACCTCCCTTCCTTAGTGATGTAAATATTACTAAATGGGAAAAAAATTACATGTACTTTTATCATATAAAATTCTACCACCAAATCCATGTTGAACTATGAGCTTATTAAACTGTACCCATAATGTTTAACCAGGGACCCTGAACCCCAAAAGCATCAACCAAAGTTTGGACTCTTAATTGACATAATCTGATGTGTGCTTGAAATACCATCAATTGTTAACAGTAAAACCCAATGTGTCTCCAAATCCAATCAGACGAAATATCTAGCCACATCATTATGCATGAAAGTATGCTACATCTTCAGAAAAAGAACAAAGATTGTGTTTGTTTTTCATTTTTGAACAGTGCAACTGCAATCTTGAATGTAGTGGCGGTCCAATAAATTTAAATAATCAATGATTGGTCGCAATTACTAAACGACCAAGCAATCAATCGTGTTTTCTCATAATCGAATGAGGGAGTTTAGTTTTATGCCACACTCGGCAATATTCCAGCTATATGGCAGCGGTTGTAAATAATTGAGTCTGGACCAGACAATCCAGTGATCAACTGCATGAGCATTGATGTTGACCATCAACGGCATTGGGAAATGATGCCGTGTCAACCATGCCAGCGAGCCTGACCACCCGATCCGATTAGATGCCTCTTGCGACAAGTATGTGTTACTGAAGACTCATACTAACCCGTACCTTCACCGGTCTTCTCGTAACCGAACACAAACAATTTTGGAAGTTATGGAACACTTCTTTACATTAAACATATTTTTACAAGGTTGGTTTTGTCTCTTCCATTTCAAAAGCACTACAAGCTCGTACCAAGTCATGACTGAAATTATCTCATAGGAAATTTATATTCCTAACATACCAGGGATCATTAAGGATTTTTAACATTCCAACTGCATTTTGTGCACTTTGCAAAACACCCGAAAGAACGAACTGTTTTTGGTGCTTTAACCAAACATAACCAGGAAAATCTGATATATGTTGTGCCAAGTTCGACATTATTAGTTTCTGTGAGTCGTTCGTACGCAAAGCCAATGAGTTCAGCGATTTTCTCGTCGGCTATACAACAATAAACTGTGTGCATGAAAAACTGCCTCGGCTTGGCCGATATAGCGGCAGCATTACTGTTTTGATTAAGGACCACTTATTTTCAACTGGTCTCATTAGCCGTATGTACACTAATTTCGAAAATTGTGTTGTACTTCTGTTCTACACAACTAGTTATGGATGGGAAATGGACACTATTTTGATATTCCAATATTTGTCGCCAGAAAACTCTCCCATATATAAGGGAAGTGACACTGGTGGTGGCGCGTGGTCCTGTGCTTAAAGCTCAGGTCACAAATCGGTGAAGTTAAGCATCCTCGAGCTAGGAGAGTCCTTGGATGGGTGACCGTGTTTAGCAGCTTGACTCCTGAGAGTTACTAGGACTTGAGTCCTGCCCCACAACGAAGCACATGTGACACATGTGGTCTCATCTTCGGCAAGTGAGTTTGTTCAAAATTGACTCTGTTCACCCAGGAGGAAAATGGGTACCCGGTGGAAGAAGGTTATATTACTATAACCTTCTAGCGCCTAACAGGCAGCTTGGGTTATCCGGGGTAATAATGGCCTTGATTGTTAGCGCTATGAGCATACCTAGTGCGCTATATAAATGGACACATTATTATTATTATGGCATGTGAGTACTTGAAGATTATTTGTGCACAATCACTGCAGATCACCCTAACAAACATCTGGGTTTTTTGGGGGGTTTTTTTGGTTTGTTTTGTTTGTTTGTTTGTTGTTGTTGTTTGTTGTTGTTTTGGGGGTGGGTCGGGGGTGGGGGGTGTGTGTGTCTGAATGCTAGAATGAAAGACTTCTTCGATTATATCCCAGATGATAATGTTGACTGTGTATATGAAAATGATGATCATCTCAAAGATATATTTGTTATGCCTCGATCTTCTAGAGATCAGGTTTATAACAATTGTGGGAAAAAACTTGCTGAATTATGTTGCACTTTTGGCATTCATGCCTTAAATGGTAGATTAGCAAATGATTTATGTGGTCAATTCACATGCTTTACTTATAACGGTTGCAGTGTAGTTGATTACATGCTAGCTTCTTCGTCACTATTCCCTTTCATCTCGCAGTTTAATGTCGGCACACTTGATAACTCATGTCACTTTCCACTGTCGTGCACACTCAATATCAACACACTTAACAGTAAACTCCCCTCCACTGCTTATTCTAATACGCGTACC